TCAGTAATGTCCTCCAGACTCTAGTTATTGCTCATGGTCAAACCTGTATGCATAAAAAATGTTCTATTGGCAATTGCAAATGATTTGTCAAGGTGTAAATCAAGTCTAAAGGAAATTATTCAGTAATAAGTTGGGAATTGAATAAGTAAGCACTGTATGCCTAAAAGGAACAATAATGGGCTTATTTAGGCTAATCTTACATTATCTATGGTTAAAAAATGTTATTTAAGCTTAATTGTAAAATACTTATAGTAATATACTATTGGTAATTAGAAGAAAACAAACAGAATAAGGAAAACAAGAGAAAATGGAGCATATACATGATAGTAAGACATAATAATTGATCTAGTGCTTTTTTAATCATCTCATTCAAACAATTAATGAAATTATTAAATGTGTTATATCGATTGAGATTATTCTTTGACTTGACATAAATTATCTCATGAACATCTCTTGTATAATTTTAGGCTTGTTATGAAATAAATTCTTTTTAATATAGAATTCCTTGTGGATTATCATATAGATATTAATGCAATCCTCAAGTAATACACATTAACATTCCTTGAGTTCAATTCTTAAAATTCAGAGACGAGATTTTGCAAGAATCAAAATCCAATACATTATTTACATAGGGGACCTATTGTAAGACCTAGATGTCAACTGGATTGTACTTGTACTCATAAATGTTCTAGTAAGAAATCATGATGTCTTGTTGGAAATTAATAAAATATCAATCAAATGTCTATATTCTGGTTTAAATATAAAACAACTTGAATTTAAGAGTAGGTAACAATAAATAATAGACTTACTTATGTATAAAGAAAATAACCTTCTGATTGTAACAAATTCCAAACTCCTATTTAATTATGTACCATTATTGATACAAATATTAATTAAAATGGATAGGTATTATTTTGCTAAATAGTAGACTGGAAATATTTTCTAATAACATGTACGCCTCAACATTTTTAATATTGTTTAATTGCTAATAGAATCTATTTTATTATTGTTCAAGTAGAACAATGACGTCATAACATTGACAGTCAATATCAAGCAGTAAACAAATCGACTGCAAAAATGTGTTAGTTTGTTTTGATACATACTCCTAACTGCGATCCAATTTATTTCTATGATCTATTTATTCATGCATGTAACTTTTTGTTTCGAACGGGCTTTAGAATCACCTTTTCAAGAGTTTCAGGGCTAACCGCGATCAGTGGTTGACAGTGGTAAAACTAAATAACATGGCGGCATCTTGTTGCAGCCGGTCGAGAAGATTTTTGACTCATATAAATTAGTGATCACTTACTTTGCTTTTTCACAAAATCAATAACGAATAAGAAGAAAAGCACTGCTACATAGTTGAGAAGTACATAAGTTCACATCAAACACTACTGTTTAAAATGACGTAACATTCTCAACCTTCACGGTCGCACAGTACAAACGGCAGGTACAAGAAATAGTTGTTTTAATAACTTGGCAAATCAACACAACACAATCAATTTTGTCATACACTTCGGTTTTATAATTCACCACTACTCCACAGTCGGCCTTACAATAAATTCACAATGAATATCAATAGTAAATTTTACAAACGCGTTTATTATTCTTCAAAAGAATAAACGTGACACGCAGTCAGGCCACTTCGTTCTTTCACACTCACTTTTTTTTTTATTTTTTCAGATGTAGATTGTCGTCACAACTCGCAGGTACAGATTAAAATTTTTACCAGAAATGCTTACAGCTAAAAAATATTGATCAGCACAGTATAAAAAGTAATTATCTCATCAAAAAAAGCACGTCTATAGATAGGTATTGCCTAGTATAGATAATGCGGGCAAACAGGAAAATCTAAAATAACTTAAGCATAGAAATCGTCTAAAAAAATAAGAGTGGTCATCTAGATGACAAAGTTTAGAGCCAAATATATTTGCTTAGTTATATTATTATTACCTTAAACTCATTTATCAAACTTTGATGCTTGTTGTCTTATAATACTACTGAATGAAAACTTTATTTAGTTATATTATAATTCGATACTATTCTCGAATCTTCATTAACTTTAGCAAAAAACATGATAATATTTAAGAAATTTTAGGATAAACACACATTGGGGCGCGTGGCGAAACCGCTCGTTTTGTCAATATTATGAAGTAGAGTAACGATTTGTAATAATTAAATACAGAAGTTAAAAACATAATTAATACCGACTTTTAGAGAACACCTAATAAAGAAAAAGGTTAAATTATATTTATATTGGTATGATATACTTTTTATTTGTATTTAAACGCAAGGCAATATGATATTGGTATGCACTTAAAGTAGCTAACGTAGTCATTCCAATCACGGCCATCTTGTCTTGTCTTGATGTAGGGACTAGCGACTAGCGAGCACCTAGTTAAAGCTAGTCTGGATGGCTACTTCTCGTGTCGCATCGACTCGCCAATGTTCGTGGCGCCTCGCGAGAGTCTGGAGCAGTTTTCAGATATTTAGTATTTTGAATTGTTAAAATCCAATACAGGTCATACTGGAAACAAAAAAAAAATAAGACACGTTAATTTTTCATCTGTAAATTTATTTAATTGTTGATGTTATTGCCTTTAATAAATAATCAATGAATATTGTACCTTTGATATATTTTTTGTTTGATTTTAGTCAATTTATTTCTGATTTGAAAAGCAATAAAAGATTTTTGAAGTTATACTTCTTTAGGCGCGTTATGAAAATTTGATGAGAGTGAAATTTTACGATGCGCGCGCACCTATGACACAAAATTCGGAGTGTGATTATAGCGTGCGCAATCTACAAAAGAAATAGAATATAAGCTAACTTCACGCATATTCTATTTCTTAGCTTAGCAGCTTAACAAGAATTTTGAATATCCATGACAATTGACATCTGACAATGACATTTACCTTTTAAACAAATATAGGAGTTTGAATTATTGTTTAAAATAAAAGATTCTAAAAGTACCTAGTTATTTTCATTATACAAGTGCGAATTTTATATGTGCGTCTGAATTATAATCAGAAATTGAATATCTAAATCAATACTAATTAATATGATAAAATATTTGTGAAAAAACTGTGCCAACCTTCCTGAGTGCTTCAATACAATTGAGGTTAACTATCCGTATGTATTATCGAGTATTATTGTTGATTAAAACTGAAACATGAACTTAATTAACTTTTGTTTATTGCGTTTGTTACAGCAACTTTTTAGAAATATTCTACGACCCTATATATCAATAATTGAGAACAAAGATTTAAACACGAATACTAATAAGGAGAAAATGAAGGCTTGGAGCGATATTACAGAGAAGTAAACATTTTAATAAGTACCTGCATCTCAAAAAAATGATTACATTATTTAATCAAAACATGTAATTTTTCAGATTTAATCTAGCAAATATAAGGACAAGAGACAAAAAACAATTTCAGTGGAAGTGCACTAAATTGAATAAAAAAAAGAGTTGTCATCTTATCGCCGTGAAACATCAAAAACAAGAGGTGGAACAAAGCCACCATCACCTTCTCCAGACACAATGGATATGGCAGAGATGATACCGCAACGGTTTGAAGTAGATTTCAATGAATTTGATTGTGATGGTGTCGAGGTAGGAATGTTAATTATAAATATGATGGTGATGTTCAAGGCTCAACCTCTCAAGCATAGGCACATACTTTATTCCCCTACAGGGTAGTTAGAGATATTGTAATACCTCAAAACATCCATGTTGCTCTTGTAGTACCGAAACTCTGTCCAGCCAGAAGTGAGCCCATTCCCACTTATAATGGACAGTGGGTATAATACACCTTAATACCTGAGTGCGAACCACTCACCATGACACTTAAATTAATAGATGTTATTTATATATTTCAGGATATTACAAATAAAATCATTTTGGAAACAATTGCTATCCCAAAAGCAAATAAAGCCAACAATGACAAGGTAATAAATCAGTTTTGACATAACTTGAATACTAAAAAAGCCAAACAAAGGTGTGCACAACAGTGACAACATAACTTAACAATTTCATTATTTTGTAGGATTAAAGAAAGGTTAAAGAAAATCATGTCGAACTGATCAACAAGAATCCCCAAACAACTCAAAAGAAACCTACAAGGAAGACACCGGTATTATATTTAAATTATCTCTATCTCTAAATAGAATAAAAGAAAGTTGCTATCCAGGTCTGTAGCATGTGCTACAAATTATATTATTAACACATTTATATAATTAGTTAATTATATAAATGTGTTAATAATATTAATATAAATGTGTTAAAAATTTTATAATATGAATTATAAAAAATTTTTATTTTGTAAGAGAATAATTATAAATATTTATTTATTAAATTTTTCAAATGTAAACTGAACTTTATTGACTATAATGACTCCTTTTCCAGTCTTTGATTATTTAATTGTAATTAATTATTTGCATGCAATCAAAATCTATTTCTAATAATGCCAAAGAAGTATAACTTCTTACGCGCGTACATAAGTACACGCACCCTTTTTTTATGATCTTGGTGTAGCGACATATTTTATTATCGATAATATTGAAAGTAAAAGAAAACTACATACATTATGCATTAAACTGCTATTTATAGTATAAAGTATACCGCTTTACTAATTACTGCATCCTTAATCATAAAAGATAGAGGTCAAATGAAAACCGATTTAAACCGTATTTGATTTCACTAAAAATCAAAACAGAGTTAAATTTAAAAAAATGTTTGTATATTTTAAACAACATTATTATTACCAAAAAAAAATTCAACACGTGTTAGATTTCTATACAAATATTTTGGTATTATCATTTTAATTACATATTTTATTTTCATGTCTATGGTTTTTTAAAGTGATGAATAAAACAAACGAAGAATTAAATTCAGTTTGACGATATGTCATACTGTGTTCTGGATTGTCTAAAGATATTCACAATTTTTTGAGATAATATTATATATTTTTAATAACAATAAAACAATTACTAATATTATGGCTTTGCCGTGGCATATACCATTGGAAGCTTTACCTTCATTCAAAGAGAAAGAGCGCGCTATTGAAGCATCTTTAATAAAACATTATAGTAAATTGAATGTACACGAAAACCCATGTGAAGAATTGCAAACAGGTCTTCTTTGTGAAATTGGTATAAATAATAAAGAACCTGCGACTATACAACGCCTCATTGCAGCTGGAATGACTGTTGCTCGTTTGAATATCCGTGATTTGGAACCGGACGCCTGTACACAATTGATACAAAGTATTAGACAAGCTGTATATAATTACAGTGCTGAATTAGAATATGTTTATCCTTTGGCGCTTTTAGTAGATGTGAGAGGTCCAGATATAATCACTGGGGAACTTAAAGGTGGACCACATACCACCATTGAGCTAAAGGAGCATAATTTGATAAGATTGACCATAGATACCAGTTGGCGGGAAAGTGGCACTGTCGATTGTTTATTTGTTGGATATGACCACTTAACTGAGTTACAAACTGGAGACATAATATTTATAGATTGTTTAACATCAGGTAAAGTTAAGTTAATAGTCAATGAAATTGGTGATGATTCTATCGAATGTACAATTGCAACTGGTGGCGTAATTGGAGCAAAAATGGCAGTTCATATTTCAAAAGTTCCACATGACGTAAATACTAAAAAATTAAACAAAAGTATTGAATCGCTATCTTATAACGAATCTTTAGAACAACCATTCGAGCACATGGAAGAGCAAATAGCATTTGCTATAGCTTCGGATATTGATGGCATTCTAGTACCTAACACTCAAACACCGCAAGATATTCGAGTAGTTAAAGATATTTTATCTGAAAAGGGCAAACATATTCTCGTTTTCGCTTGTATTGAAACTGTTCTAGGATTTGATAATGTAGAAAGTTTGTTAGTTGAATCCGACGGCTTATATGTGGACAGATGTGTTTTAAGCACTGATTTACCAGTAGAAAAAATATTCATTGCCCAAAAATCTATTTTGGCAAAATGTAACTCTATTGGAAAACCATGCATATTTAAAGCTGTTTTGAATGAACAGATTCCTACACTCTGTGTAAACGATATCGCCAACATCGTTTTGGACGGCGCTGACGTCTTATCACTAGAACTGCACTACGATTCGCCATTGAAAAAGTTAGTACCGGGCTACGATGCAGTAAAAATGGCTGAGAATTGTGTTGCTGCTGCTGCAGTTATTTGTAGACACGCAGAAAGAATTATTTGGAGACCAAAAATTTATGGTGTAACGGAACTTATGCAGAGTTCTTTTGAAGAGCCGACAAAAGCAATTGGGGTGACCGCAGTTGAGCTTGCTACGCGTTCTAGAGCAGTTGTTATAATCTGTCTCACAAATTCTGGACGAACTGCAAAAATCCTTTCACATGCCAAGCCCTCCTGTCCAATAGTAGCAGTGACAAGAGCGTGTCATACAGCAAGACAATTACGTTTTTGGAGAGGTGTTCGTGCTATGCATTACTTTGAGACCGCTAAAACTACTTGGTCATTAGAAGTAGATTCACGTATTCATGCTGCCCTTGATTACTGTAAAGCAAAAAGAATATTGCGCGCCGGAGATGCCTACGTAGTAGTGACAGGATCGAGGCGAGGGGCAGGTTACTGTGATACTATAAGATTGTTATATGCCAGTGCTCGAGAAACAGTTCCAGTAGAATTCTGATCGATGGATGGTGTGGATTTATGATTCTCAATTTGTATAATTATGATTTCTATTGTTATATTATTAATAATATTATTGCTGTTCATAAATTCAATTTATTGTTACACTTTTTGCTAAATTATTTTTGTCTAGGATAAGATCTAAGGTAATAAGAAGACCAGAAAATAGGTAAGAAGAAAATATGTTTTTAGTTTCCTCACTCTATACAGCAAGCTGTTAGTCTGCGCAAACCTTTGGTGTAGGTACTTATACGTACTGAACCCTTTATGTTTAGTCTAGGGACTTGGCGGTATGTGGCGATACCTCTCGAATAAAGAGTAGACTCACTGTTAGAATTTAATATCGGGTTCTCGATATCTCGATATTTTACTAGCGACTGATTATTATTTGACTATTTTACTAGAGGCTGACTGAAAGCCATTTGCCCAATATTGCCCATCAGCTTTCGTATCCTAAGTTAATGCAATTAAGATCCAAACTTTGTAACTACTTCAGGATGTTCATCAAGTCATTTGATGATTTACTGGCCCTCATTTAAGAAGAAATTATAGCAGATAAAAACGCTGTGCGATAGCATTTGACCGGAAAGAAAAATTCATAATTACGGTGAGGTAAGTTCTTTATCGTGCTTTATGAAAACGCGTATTAGCATGTGTACGGCCTGAACAAAGTGTATGTAGATATAAACGTGCGTTTACAAAAAGCGCGTTAATCGCCTGTCATATGAACTAACCATTAGTAACAAATATCCATATTCCCAAATAGTAATTTTGATATTTTATCTACAGTCCAGCTGCAATCTTATAAAATAAAATTAAAGCTTATCCGCCATTCTAATATATCTATAATAAAATGAAAAAATACTGATACTTAAGCAATTACCTATCGGTCTGTTTAGTTATAGGTTCTGGGGTTTCGTTCATTTTTAGACTCCCGTTGTTCTATAAATTGTAATTTATATTCTGTACTTTAGAAGTCATCAATTGTCACTTAATGATAGCTCCCAGATCAGTCAGTCACTAGTCACTCACTACTCTAGTCTGAAGTATTCAGTAATAATTGTTTTTATTTTGATGATTATTATAAAGGCTTTCAAGATTTATTACTTTTAATTTCCATTTTCACGATAGTAAATATGCCAGCTATAGATGCAAATATGAATGAAAGTGACGAGGATTATATAATATCAAGAGCAAAAGAAGCTCAAAAGCATAATATACATTCAGCTAAAGCATGGATGTTAACTGCCAAAACTTTGTTTCCTACCAATTTTAAGATTCAGTTTGAAGCGTATTTAATGGAGAAACAATCTGGTAATGTACAGGAAGCTGCTGAATGTTTCAGTTCATTAATGGGATCGCGGCAAAATCTTTCAGACCTGCTGCCCGAAATATCTTTAATAGCAAATGCATTAAAGTCTAATGAACCATGTTTTTTGTGTCAAATGTTTGATAAAATATCCCCGGATATTCAATTAACCATCCTGAAAACCAGTGTAGAAAATAGTGATGATACAATGGAGCACTGTCGTTTATTAGTGCTTCTTTTAAAAAAGTTTCCTCAACTTGGAGTTGACAGCCTTGTGAAAACTTTAATTAATGCTGAAAAATTCTTCTCTGATAATAAATATGCCAGATTACTTGTTGTCGAAACTTTACCACTCTTAAGTTCATTAGAATCACCAAGGCTTCTGCAGCGGCTTGTGGTAAAGGCAATGGATTTCTATAACACATATATTTATGAAGACAATGAGCATGATATCACAGATCCTTGGCAGAGGCTTTTTAGTGTTTTAGATTTATTAGGAAAACAGTTAGCCTGGGACCCATACTTGGTAAACTATAACAATACTTTGAATAGGGAAACTTACTTACAGAATCTTCTCACATTGAGAAGTACAGAAGATTGCAGGCAATTATTATACTGTGGATTATCTTTTTTTCTTAGGTCATTACATGAGTATAAGTCTTTAAAAGGAAACCATATTCTGGTTGAATCCTTAGTTGATCCTGATTTGCCACCTTCAAAAAGAAGAAAGGGTGATATTGAAGTGACTGGTGTTTCGGCCTATCAGTTTCAGACAGCTGCAAATTGTTGGGAGCTATTACACAGTAATGATATTATTTCAAGGGAATTTATGAAACTTACATCCCAACTGCAAACTAAGCCATGGTTGGAAGGATTTACAGATGAATTAGCTCTGTACAGAGGCCAATATGAGGAAGCTTTGCCCATATCTAATAAAACAAGTCTAACATCAAATATTATCAGAGTCTCAATACATTACTTTCAAAAGAATTACACCAGTTGTGTCGAGACTATACTGGCTGCTTTAACTCAATTGCCGTCATTAGATGGCGTTTTAGAAGCTGATTTGATTGTCGGTGGTAAACATAGACATTTACATTTTTTACCACTTACTAAAGTTGCTATAGTTCATTACTTCTGTTCAATATTAATTAGAATATTGCTGAATACAGGCAACACTGCAGACCTCACTTATGGTCACATGTTAGTCCTCATGCAATTAGGGTGGCCTCAAGAAGAATCAATATTTCTACATATCTTAGATGTATTCAGGCATAAAGGTGTCTTTCACTATCATCTCTTCTCAGCTTATATCATCCATATAGATATATTAGAAGAACTTAGTTACATTTGGAATGAACAAGGAAAAACTATTGTTTTAGATATTCTTCCAAATTCTCAACAACATCTAGGGCAAAGAAGAATAGGAACAAGAGGAGCAGATAAGGGGGTTAAGGACGATTTCAAACAAGCTATGAAAGCACAAGTAGCTCGAGCGAATGAATCTGTATTAAATTTAATGATACAGTTTATAACATCAGAGCGATCATATTTAATGCAAGTTTTATAAAGTAAAATAAAATGTTTATGAATTTTAATTTTTTAATTTAATAAATCATTTTATTTATTAAAATGCCTATGTAATATACTAAGAACTTCCTTCATATGAGCCTACAGCTAACAAAAGGTTGCGACGTGTAAAGTGCAAATTCTTCAAGGGGGAGTTCTTTGTTGCAAAAGATCTTAGCAAAATCTTCTCTTCTTTTGCTGGTGAACTGCTAGCAATGTTTTCATCATTAGCACTTTCATCCGTGATCAGGGCGAAGTCCCATAATTTTATTGTACAATCTAATGATCCTGAAAATTAATGGAAGTGTGAGCCATATTCTTGTTGCTTTAATACTAAATAGGTAATTTCGATAAATTTAATTCCACTAAAACATTACGTAATTGAGTGAATCACTCTTCATTATAAGTATGTATGTTAGATAAAAAAACGTGTGGCACTCGGGGACTGCCGCGGTAAAGCTATTGCATAGCATTTTTATCAAGTTATGCAATTATAATTATTTATTTATGCAGAATTTTTTTTTCTTTGAAGTAAGTTTTTCTGTACACCGGCTTACGCTACGTCACCGGTCTCGTCAGAGAGATGTGAGACACAGTATGCGTTCTGTCCCGCTCTAACGCGTAATAGCCGCACCTATATTACGTCATCGTGTGTTAGGTTTATTTCGTTACGGAATTTCTTGATTCGGTCGCCTCGCTCAAAGCCTGCGATAAAATCTATGCAATAGCTTAAAAAATGGTAAAACAAATGCATAAGTCTGTCCTGATCAAGCCACGCAAAAATAAAATTATAATTATTTTATTTTTGTTAAACAGTATTTTTGATGATATGTCATAATTATGTGGGCGGGAATTTGATAACGTCAAATCAATAGTGTATTGTTTTGAAATAATAAGTTGACGTATACAACAGACATACCTGAGGCAAGTAGCGCTCCATCCCGGCTGAAAGCTAGGGCAGTGACAGGTGCTGTATGATGCGGAGGGAGATGGGCCGCTGGAGCCCCCGACGACAGATCCCAAATGACCACTTCACCACCACCCCCACCCGATGCAAGCCAACGACCGCACACAGAGAAGGACAGCGTTAGTATGGGACGCTATTAAACAGATTCTGATGAAATAATGTAGCAGGCAACAGCAGAAATAGTGTTTGTTAAGAGGTCAATGACCTTTAATTTTTTACATAATGTAAATAATGTCGTGGCATCCGGCGTAAGGAATACATCTACTTATATAAATAAAAATTAATCGCGAAATATGTTGCTAAGAGGAAAACTCGAAGACGGCTGCACCAGTTCGAGTATTTTTTTAAATACTTATTCCTTGAACTCTGGGGTTACCATGGAGAGAAAAATTTGAAAAAGATAAAAAAAAGAATTGAAAAATTTCGTTTCATTCAGTTCTTAGGGTATTATTTATGGGGGATCATAGCAAAATGTTCTATGTGTCGGTATTTAGCTACTAGAAAGGTAGGCTAAGTAAAAAAATCATATTATAAAAGCGAAACGAAGTACGTGGGGCAGCTAGTTTTCTTAATAAAATAGCGATATGAATCACGTCACCATTTCCAGACACATTTCGATAGCGAAAATCGAGGCGGTAGTTGGTCACGCCTGACGCAGTCTCAAGCCCCATGACAATGATATTTCTCTCAACTCAAGCTTTTTAATGAACTAATAATTTTATTTATTATTGTTTTGTTGCCTTAGGTTCTTACCTTAAAACTAAATAAAACGTTTAAGGTAGTTAAATTTCTAATTTTAATAATTAAAATATCTCAACTATGCTGAGACTCGAAGTCAAACAACTCGCAGCAAAACAATTTCGGGTTGTCTAGCACAGAAGGTAAATATAAGTAAAACGAATATTGAGGTTACCTTGTGTCCTGTCATGAGTCGAAGTTGTGTCCCTGTGAGACAGTCCCAAAGACGCACAGTTCGATCACTGGATCCCGTCGCCACGTAGTTTGAGTTTGGGTGGAACTGCACGCACTGAGGTGGACAACTTAGATGAATTCTTTGAAATATTTGCCATAAAAAGGGAATTAAAACCGATTTGACTAAAAATAAAAATCATAACGAACATTATTCGATTACTGTCGAAAATCGTATGTAAAGCAAGCGAATATCCAAATTTTATAAAGCAAATTAGTGATAGATATAAGAGTTTTAATCCAGTAAAATTAGGTACTAAAGCTTTGCAGCAGATAACTGTGCCTGATACACCGGTTTCCCAAAATTATTATTAAAATAATTACAGTCAAAATCTGTTATACCTAACGTCATTGAAGGGACTACTCTTATTTGTTCGAAAAATCCGATAGTCGTAACTGCCGATGACGTTGTTATTTAAGTACCTAATACAATAGAATTCAGCCGGGACCTTTGATTTAGGTCAATATAACCGGTATGTTGTACTAAACGATGTCGTCGTAAACGGTTTTGACTGTATTAACAAAATTATTATTATTAAAATAATTACAGTCAAAATCTGTTATAACGACATCGAAGGAACTACTTATATTTGGTCATAAAAACCGATAGTGGTCGTAAACGGTTTTGACTGTATTAACATTATTATTATTATTTAAATAATTATTTTACTTACATCGACGTCTGAAAGATGTCCCGAAAAGAACCTCAAAGGCTGATGATGGTCAGTGGCCCAGAGACGCGCGGTGCGATCATGTGAGGCGGACGCAAAATAATGTCCGTGGGGTGACCATCGGACGTCCCATACCGGCCACACGTGGCCACGGTACACGACCACACACGTCCAGCATTGCAGTGACCACAGACGAACTGACACATAAAAATTAAAATATAGCGTTATTTAATTACATAAAGAATAATATTTTTTAAGCAAAATGAAAATATAGGGTCATACAATTATGATCGATTATAAAAATCACCTAAAAACATAGTTATTGAAAAAAAAAACAAATTCCTCTAAATGTATCTTTTAACTAAAACATTATTTCGTCTCTTTCTGTCAAATTGTGTTTACGCTTTGATGAAAAGAGACAGACGTGTTTAAATATTGCAATTAAACTGTTTTATATGTGCATGTTCATGAACGGTAATGGTACTCTGTAACTTTCAATACTGCACTCAATTATTGGCATAATTCTATATTAATTTTGATTAATTGACATCCTTGGATCAGTCAACACCGATACATGTGAAGTTAGCTAATACTAATCAGATAGCTCAATTTGCATTATCTAACAAATGACATTTAAAACTTAAGAATAAAATAGTAATTTTTACATAAAATGCTTTTACATCATAAGAATAAGCCCACTGTGTATTTTTGTACACATACATTGGTACAGCGTTTTGAATATATAACATATATGTTTACAAGGCAAGCCTATTCTTATGTAAACCGTTATTTAAAGAACAGCTGATTGTAAATAAAATGAACTTTGACATAGGAAGTTATTTAAAAAATTTGAATAACTATTCAAACCGTAGTAGCTATGTACATTTATTTTGTTGAACAAAAAAAACGTATAAAATAATTATAATTACTTGTAGAATCTTCAGAGCAAGACAGCAGTAATGTTTTGAAAGGATCAAACGCGACTTTATAGACTGGTCCACTATGACCAAACAGAGTGCGACATGTATCTCTGTCCTTCTCTTCCATCATCCTTACCAAGACATCACCTGAAAGGCAGAAATTATATTAATATTTAAGAATGTCATATTCATATTATGTATAAAGTATTGTACAATGGTTAATACTTCATAAATACATAAAGAATTTTAGGGAGCGTTCAAGTATTACGTAACGTATTTTGGGAGGGGTGGGGGGATCCTTTTGTAAAACGTTACAATGCGGGGAGGGGATTAAATTACGCGTTATTGTTAATATTTTTTTCGACTTACACCATAATATACTTGGGTACTGAAAAACGTTACGGCGAGTTACATGGGATGGGGGGTGTCAATAATCACCAAAAATTGCGTTACGTAATACTTGAACGCTCCCTTAAATAATTAATTAGTTAACTGATTTAAAAATATATCCAGCTGTCAAATTGATAAATACATAGGTATATTTAAAAAAAAAAGGTTCTTTTAAAGTAGACAAAATTTTATAAATCTACCTGCTTCCTTGTCTATATCCTGCAATTTGTCCACAGATTTCATGCCTCGAAGCCTGACTGAAGTCAAAGTCCATACCTGAGTCGATAGAAAATAAATATTTAACTTTTTTTATTAATGTGTAATTAAACCCAACATCATAGGGGACTCAGCCAAAGTCACAGGTTAAAAGGTATTTTTTTTTTAAATTATGATATGAGCAAAGCCTATTGAAATATTGCCAAATGAACATCCTCTATTGAAGTACATGACGAGCTAATGGCGGATTTTGCAGCTCCTCTAACAGCTGAATCCAATGACATCAGGTTCCGGGGCAAAGCCCACTTCGCAGATGGTGTCCTGAAAATGTGGTGCGAGGACGCCTACGCGTTGAGGTGGCTGACCGGTACCTGTGATGCCATCACCAACCCCATACCAGACACCAGGTTGGTAGTTCGGCCTCAGTCAGCAATCCCAAGAAAGGTTCCATGCCTATTACACGTCCCAGAATATACTGGTAGCACAGAAAACCTAATGAGACTGATTTTGAGGCAGAACCGCCACTTAAACATCAGATCGTGGACCCTGACGCACGAACGGAGAACAAAGGACCCGACAGGTGTCTCTCTCTTCTTTCGTGTGCCGGAGTCCGAGATCGTAACGATCAAAAAACAAGACAGGCGTGTTTACTATCTGCTGGGGAACATTTATATCCGCATCTTGGATAAGGATGAACCCTCACAGGTGGATGACGCCCCACCTCAAGCCATCGCCAGTACATCGGGGACGGTGACGCCGAGGCCAATGCCTTCCACGTCAGTGACAGAGAAGGCTGCGGATGGCCGAGTGACCAAGACTCACGTTCCCATGGAGACGGCACAACTAACATCGGATGAGGAGTTATTTCAGGAGACCGGGGGGAGTGAACTCAGCGACAGCTGTCTGCGCTCCTCCCCTTCGCCGAACTGACCTTATTCAAGCCAACCTCCAGCATAGTCAAACAGCGTCGGCTTCCCTGCGTAGACTGCTGGAGACCAACCCCAAGACCATCGCCGCGATCCAGGAGCCGTGGATCCGGAATGGCAAGATATGCGGCCTGGGTAACACCGGTGGTAAAACCCTACTGGACACCCGCGTAAGTAACCCAAGAACCTGCATATTAATACCCAAACATGTACCAGCATTACTAATAAACGAACTATGTTCAAGGGACCTCACAGTTGTTAGGTTACCCAGGAACGAGCTTCCAGACATTGTCCTGGCGTCAGCCTACTTACCTGGCGATGAGGACGTGCCCACTCCGGAACTCGGTCTTCTAGCCGAATACTGCGAGAGGGAGAAACTAGAACTCATCATCGCGGACTCCAATGCACATCACACGCTATGGGGTAATGCTAACACCAACGCTCGAGGTGAGAATATGCTTAATTTCATACTTAGTAATAATCTTATCCTGGCAAACAGCGGCTCAGAACCAACATTTATCAACGCACGTTCACAAACCATAATTGATTTAACATTGATAACGGTAGGCCTGTCAGACCAGATACATGACTGGCATGTGTCTAGTGAATTATCATGCTCGGATCATAGGTGGATCCGCTTTGCAATCAAAGGGGACCTACCTAAACCACAACCTACAAGAATACCTCGGAGAACTGAGTCAGCAAAATTTCACAAACTAGTTAGCTCCGAGATAGTAAAACTAACATTACCAACAATCATTGATGCACAAGACATAGACAAACATGCCAATAACCTAACGTCCCTACTTCTGACGAGCTATGAGCAGTCATGTCCCCTCACCGTGCCAAGATGGGGGGGCAAACAGAACTGGTGGTGCCCAGAATTGGAGAGACACCGTCGGAAGGTCAGAAAACTGTTCAATAGAGCGGGCAACACAATGATGCCTAGGGATTGGGACAAGTATACAGTCGCTAGAAGGCGGTTCAAAAAACTTCTTCGTACTAGAAAGCAAGAGTGCTGGAGACACTTCTGCACTAGTATTGAAAACAATAACCAGGCAAACAGAGTGAAATCATGCCTCTCTAGAGAAACCTATCACTCGGTTGGCTGCCTAAAAAAACCTGACAACACATATACAAAAACCGACGCAGAAACATGTGAGCTACTGCTGGCGACTCACTTTCCTGGCTGTACAATTGCCAATGAGCAGTCATGGCAGAAATACGCGGAAAGAGTAACCGCCAACTCCGACTGGCAGGTAGCTGACAAAATAATCACAAGAGAAAAGGTAACATGGGCGATCAACTCATTTCTTCCATTCAAACCTGCTGGCTTAGACGGGATATTCCCAGGCCTACTAAGATGGGGTGGGAGCCTTATAGTGGACTATCTGGTGCCATTATTCCGAGCCTGCATAGCTCACCGCTATATACCTCTGAAATGGAGAGAAGTAAAAATCATCTTTATACCTAAACCAGGAAGAGAGGACTATACCCAAGCGAAATCCTTCAGACCCATCAGTCTCACATCATTCCTCCTCAAAACTCTGGAGAGACTGGGAGACCTGGAGATACGCAGCCGGGTATCATTAGCTAAGTTCCTCCATCCTAATCAGCATGCCTACAGCTCAGGCAAATCAACAGAATCAGCACTCCATAACGTAGTATCTCGCATTGGCAACTCACTGAAAATAAAGCAGTCAACCCTCGGCGCATTCATTGACATTGTAGGTGCATTTGACAAAACGAATTTCACGAGCATTACCAATGCACTTGTCACTTGTGGAGTACCATCGACCCTTACAGAGTGGATCAATAATATGTTGAAACAACGAGCCATACAGTTCACCGTGAACACCACTACGCGTGGTATTGTCAGTAGGGGTTGCCCACAAGGCGGTGTCCTTTCGCCGCTCTTGTGGAATCTAGTGGTAAATGAGCTCATCACAGAACTAAATGCTATCAATCTCTACACAGTAGGGTATGCGGATGATATAGCTATCCTAGCATCGGGGAACTTTGAAAGCACCTTATGTGATCGCATGAGGAAGGCTTTCAGAGTAATTGAGAGATGGTGCAATTAGCACGAGCTATCTGTCAACCCATCAAAAACGGAACTAGTCTTATTCACAAACCGAAGGGTTCTTGGACCGTACAGGCTACCAAAAAGCAAACTGCTTTGGAATAAACACCTTGAACATAAACTAAACAAGGCCACGATTGCCTTTTATCAATGTAAAAAGATGCTAGGCGTCAAATGGGGCTTATCGCCTAAGATTACGCTATGGCTCTACACTGCCGTAATCAGGCCAATGCTGGCTTATGGAGCCCTGGTTTGGTGGCCGAGGACGGAACTCCAAACTGTAATAACTAAACTTGGGCGTTTCCAAAGGCTTGCCTTGTCCGCTGCCAGTGGTTGCATGAAAACAACGCCAACTTCAGCATTGGAGCTAGCCCTCCAAGTTGCACCCCTAGACATACACATAGAGCAGGAGGCAGCATTGGCGGCCATCAGGCTTATGGTATTGGATTTATGGGGTAAAAATCATTACAGCACACACACAGCGATCCTAAACAGGGCAATAGAATACCAACCGCTAATAGCCGCGCCATGCGATAGGATCGTTAATCAACACATGCTAAACAGGAAATACCATATACAAATGAGAGAAGAGGAATGTGATCAATCGACCGCGAACGAGCTACGCATATACACTGATGGCTCAAAAACAGGGCGTGGCTCCGGTGCTGGCATATTCTCTCAAGATCTCAACATCAAAACACACCTACCTCTAGGCACACACAGTTCAATTTTTCAATGCGAGTGTGTTGCCCTAACAGAAGCTGCCAGAGGCGTAAAGCGGTTAGGAGTTAATAACTTTTGTATTAAGCTCGTATCCGATAGCGCCTCCGTGCTGATGGCGTTGGGGGGGTAACACGACAAACAGCAAACTGGTGCTGGAGTGTCACAATGCACTGGAGGCAATAGCCCTGACAAACACAGTTACCCTACAGTGGATTAAGGGACATAGTGGATCTCTCGGCAATGATGCAGCCGATGAGCTTGCGAGGAGAGGCTCGGAAATGTTGCCCGCTGGCCCGTATCCGCTCCTACCCTTGCCCTTCTCATAAGTGCGAAAATGGATACGCCAGAGATCTGAGGAACTCCAGCACCAACGTTGGTCATCAAGTGTGGACTGCAGGCAATCCAAAATGGTTCTGCCAGTGGCTAACACAAGAATGACTAAGCAACTTTTAAATCTAACCAGAAATAACCTCAAAATAATGATAGGGACAATTACGGGCCATTGCCTCCTTAATAAACACCTTTATGTCCTAGGCGCGACAGACAGCCCCATGTGCAGAGGCTGTTTCAACGCAGAGGAAACAGTTACCCACGTAGTCTTGGAATGCGGCTGTGGCTAAACAACGTACAGAAATCCTCGGAACAGTGAGGTCGCTCCGTGAAGCCTGCGAAGTTCCCAGGAAGCTTCTGTGCTTCTGGAAGGAGTTAGGCTGGCTTAGTTAGCCAGGGCTCACGTACAACGGACCTAGTGAGCGTCTAAGTGCGGAAAACGAGTCCACAAACCAACCAACCAACCTCTATTGAAGTGAAGCTTATATTTGCAATAACTGCTAAAAGCACTTAATACAGTAAACCCTAAAATACAATCGTTGACTAGTATTTGTGTAAACTGAAGACAATATCATGTTGCAAAAAAGGTGGTACCCTGTTCTCAATGTAATTTAGGCAAATTAATAAATAACAACTGGTATAATTCCTCTAAGTAAATTGTATGTTTTTAATTTTTATTAATACATACAGTATTGCATAATATATAATCTGATTGAAAGTAGAGATAGGTCATATTACCTTAATAGTGGAAGTGTTAAAACCAACAGCCAGCAAAGAGGAGTCGTCACATATGTCTGCGCATAAAGCAGTATGTCCGCTGTTCAGTAATGTATAGAAGCAAATGGAAGGCAGAGTTTCTGGTCCCAACTGGACTCGCTTTGAAGCCTCCCTTAGCGCTTTACCTTTTTCTATTTTATCTGTTTCTTTCCTGCAATATTATTTATAATATCCTAGTTTTTAATTAAACATAAAAAAAATGTTGTATGTTCTCTAACATGGTAAAATTAATTATCAAAGTTTTTAATTTATGAGAAATGACCCTATAATAGACTAAATACAACCACGACCCATTGAGTTATAGAGGTGGTTCAATCAATTTTTTTTGTTCACTAGAAACAAAGATTTTATTGCTAGCATACTGTAGTAATAATGCCAATGGACTTCAAGCATCCAGCGAAGAACAGATTTCTTTGTTTCATTCATAGATCATTAGTATTCATGTGTATAATATGTATAGTAAACATAGAAATGGTCCCACAGAATTCCGTATTTTAAATTTGTTTAATTTTCTTTCTATAATATCTTACTCACAATTCAGGTAATGGTATTCTGTCTGTGGGTGGTGCATTAGGATCTACTTTTGGTTTTTTCATAAACACATTATCCTTTTTTGCCTTTTTCTTTTTAGGCTTGTCAGGTGTTTCCTCCACTTCTTCTTCATCCTCAGGTGGGGTAGCAAGAACTTCAATGTATGGCTCCTTTAGAAGCCCATAGTAAACCTTTGCACGATTTTCTACAAGGAATATTATACAAATACAAAGTTACCTTTAACTCGGATACTTTCATAGTTTTTAATGTTGTTATAAGTGAATTTAACTTTGAATCAAATTAAATTAAGCCAAATTAAGTACAAAATTCATATGACTTTAGCAATTGTTTTTTAATGAATAATATATAACTAATTCCTATAAATATAGTTTAAGAATCAACAATACCATTTCTGGAGGCCTCCCCAAGAATCCCACCAGCAGTTGCTTTCACCTGAGCTTGTGTTCTGCCGGGACCATCATGTATGTCAATGAGAATGTGATTGTTAATTATATTAATAATCACTGGAGAACTCTTTTGCTCATGAAGAAATCTCTTTAATTGTGACGAAGAATCTCTTGAAAGCTGAACATCAAATTTGTTGGTGCTAAAAATAAAGAATGTGTAATTGTAAAATATTCCTAGTTAAAGGGTAAGGGGGAACCCTTTAAATTATTGTAAAACATCCAATAAAGCACAGGGAAGCCACTAACTGAAACATCAAGTTATGTAAATAGTGTAATAAGTTTCTATTTATACCTGTAAATCTCTGCTAATTCATTTCCTTTAATTTGCTCTTTAGCTTTAACAATAGATAATTGTTGTAGATCATCCTGGTAATAATCTTCTTGTTCTTGACCAAATCTTTCCAAAAATTTTGCAGCATGTTCATTATGATCATACAATATCAATGATAAGTACATATGAACAAATACAGGGTACAATAGAGTTGACAATTCATACTGGAAAAAGAAACAAAGCAATTTTACAGTAATTTTAACTGTCTTGCATATCTTTAGTTTATAAAATTATAATAACTTCAATCTGTGATATTAATTATTATCATAGAAAGTTACTGTGTAGTTCAAAACAAGGGCCAATGGTAGATGTTATATGAGATATTCTACGAACCTTGCAAATATCAAGAGAGTTTTCAATAAATTTTTTAAGACAATCATATGCATGTTCATATGTAAAAGGATCGCTCTCAGTGTGGTGTACTGAGAGTATGTTTGCTATCTCAACTTCAGGTAAATCTAAGTTTTGAAACTCGGTATCTCCTAAGTTTGCTTCTTTTCGCAAAATTTCTTCGGTGCCCTGAAATGTTATAATAATTAGTTTATAAACGGTTAAGATAGAATTGATTATTATTGAGGTTACAAATGGCATACCTTTAAATTATATTTCTTTAATAGCTGTAATACAGCCAAAAGAGGAGTCGATTTCTCCCCCATGATTATTTTTTTCACTTTACTGCTATATAATACGACTTAACGAACACTATTATTTAACTATTGACTTGTATTTTGCAAGTTAACATTTCCAGGATAATTAACTAATGTAATTTAATAATAACGTACTATTTATTATGTCTAACTACTAATATTTTTTTAAAATAAAAGTTTGATATTTGTCTATTTTGACAAAACCAAAACATTAGAATGGAGAACGTAACCAATCTATAGCAGTGATGCCAACTCCTACAAAATATTCCCCCTAGGACGAACTTCAAAGTTCAAATACACCTAAATATCAACTAAAACACCTAAAATGTATTATTGTACTGGTTTGAAAGGTAATTTCAAAAATGAATACAATATAAACATACATTCAAGTAGTATAAAATAGCTGTTCGATATTCGAGTTTTATAGCGTTTTGATATTTCAGTTTAACACACGCTTGGAGTTTATATTTGGTTATGATTGTTGGATTCTAATTTCTAGGCCTAATATAAATTGTGCATTTGTAAGATAAGATGTGTTTTTTAAGAAAAAAATCTTGAATTATGTATCGTTAAGGGGTAGATTCCCCACAAGATTTGGGGGATTGGCCCAAGTTGGCATTACTAATCTATAGACAGTAAAGTTCTATAATCTATTCAAAATTATACAACAATTAATATAAATCACATTTGTGCAAATTACAATCGTATCGCAGACTAAACTTTATCTTTTTTAGTAGAAGGGCCGGAGCTAAAAATACGTTGCGGCAACGTGACCCACTGATGATGTGATTACATTATCTACGACAAAGAGTATAGTACCTTGTGTATCTGTGACCCGAGCGCGCGAATATAAGTAAATATGAGTTGATAGATAAAACTATTATCATTTATACTGGCTGTATGGACTAAAGTCCTTTGCCTGTCCCATTAGGGATAAATTAATATCATCATTATCATTTATATACCATTCATATTAATAATTTGCATATATTATTTTTGATGTTGATTTTTTTATAGCAGAAAAAAAAGTTACTTGGGATTTTGTCTAGCGACAAGGAAATATATTCTAGAGATAATAGTGATAAGTGCCTTTTGTTCTTTGTCTATATTATTATTATTAAACAATAAAATTTGTCTCGCTAACTGACTTACACGAAACAAAGGTTATCCATATAAAAATAACAAGCTAAGTCTTACTTTTTTTATGTCCTCTGGTAACGAGACCTTTAAGCCAGCTAAGTCTTATCGTTTTACAAAGACTAGCGTTAGTACAGTCTATCCAGTACCGTTGCCAACGCAATCGCCGACGCCGCACGTGTATTATTCTTGCTTTCGTAATCGCATTTTAGTGTTTATTGTTTCTCTGTTTGGTGAAATATTACATAAACTACCTATTTAGTGCTGTATGTAAGATGGGTAGGTACGAGTATCAATAAAAATAAGTACACAAATAAAATATTTTTTATTTTTACATCTTCAATTTTTTTGCTATCTCTCCAGTTTGTATGACGTCATTAAGCCAGGTTCGCAGATATTTCCGACGACTTGTAAATACATAGACTAAATTTTACTCTATTGTCTTTAATTTAAAAAAATGTATGTAATAATTTATATATCTACAGTCTACACAAATCCTATTCTTATATTGCATGAATAAACATTAAATAAAATGACTTTTTAATTTAGTTATAATAATTTATTTTTCGAAAAAGCAACAATCTTCACAAACACAAAGTTAATAACAAAATATTAATTCTAAGAATTTATCATATAAATCAAGAACTTAACAATAGTTTCATTTATACGTAAACAAAGGCTTACTTTTCGACTATAAACGAGATATGTGCGTTACTCTCACTTTTAAATAATACAGGAAGTATTTTTTCTATTATGATTTCAAAACGACGACAATGTCAGATGACTAGTGATGGCTTATAATAATTGCTTGACTTGTAATTACTTGTTACTCTTGAACATTATTCTGACAAACTACGTTATAACATGCAGTAGTCAAAAATTATATAAAGCCTTATTATAAAACTTGGAATAACGATAATGTGTACTACATTATTACCATTCGTTATATGGAAATAATACATCTTAACTATAGTAAACACTGTACAGTTAGTACCACGTTTTATAATAAGGCCGAGTGAAGCTACTTTTCTAATTTATGTTTATCTAACCTATCGCATGTTTTAATTTTTTCTAATGATCTTTGAATATCTTAACAAAATGATGATGTTCGATATATATAACTTCAGCACCTTGGGAAATCCACCTAGACCTAGTATGCGAACATATTCATATTCATTCTACCAACACTTCGTTAAATATATGCCAAATCATTTAAATATCTCCTGATGTATAGAAATGTCACTTTAAATTTTGTATTTAATAATTGCTTTATACTCACTATATTTAAACAATAATAAAACAATACCTACATAAAAGTTTTACATTTTTAATTATTTATTGCTTCAACATATATACCAGATTTTTTTTATTTATATATAGACTTATTATGTACCAGTTATCATAAAATTCATAATAATATTAGTTAATACTTACTATTTAAATATTGTTCGTTAGTAAATGTAGTCAATAATCACAAACTATCGAATTATTGGTCATTGATAACGCCTTTATGTTAAGGTGTAGGTAATCTAACTTAATTGATATATTTTTTTACTGTTTAAACAGAAATTCAAATAATTGTCAAATTTATTTTTGTTGCCATAAATCAATATTCAGTAGTTTATGGTTATAAATATTAAATAAAATCTGTGTTTGTTAATAAAGCCTTCTTTGAGAAAGCCTAATTGTAAAATATATATAATAAGTTCGAATATTATATAAAACATTTAAAATCTACGCCAATCTACGATTAAACTCTATAATAATTTGACTTAGACATTATGCATTTTCAAAAACGGGATAAAGCTATGGATTTCATACATTACAATATTAAAGCTTGGGATTTATTAATCTAAAATCTACACTTAATACAACAGTATTACGAAAAGTCTTGACACATTTGACACTTTCAGTACTGCGATCCACGAGAGACCTTTTTAGCGCGACCGCTATCAAAGCTAAATAATTTTAGTACGTTACAAATATTGGGAAATTTTACGTTACGCTCCCAAAAGAGATTTAACTAATCCAGCATAGAGCGGTCATTAGGAAAACTTCCAAACACGTTATTTACATGTATTTTGAGACAAAAGCAAGGACTAATATCAGGACTGCTTATTTAATGATTACTTTTCGTTTATTGAGATAAACCAATAGAATCACTGTTTGGGTAAGATTCAAAATCAAACGTGAACTATGAGTGCTGTATGTCAAAATGCCTTTTTGACATACCGGAGTCATACTTAGCACTAAATCTCGTTTCTCAGTGTCACCCTTGCCTTCGCTAAGTCTTAATCTAACAGTGATCTCTTTCTGTAAAATAATCTTAATGCAACTGTAATCTGTAGTAAATACCATGCTCTAATCTGTGGTACGTAAAACATTTGAATAAGATTTCATTATTGTTAATAAGGTAGACAAATAAATGATGGGCTTTCCTCACTCCAAAATCTAGTATATACATTAGATTCTCTTTGATCTGATACACGTTCCTTTTCCGATACAATAGTTTCCCTTTGAAATATAATCCTGTTTGAGCGTAGTAACTTTGATTCGCAGAACGATTGAGCTTGCGAATCAGCGTCGATACCGTATAACTTCCAATAGCGATGGAGAACCCAACGTTTGGAGGCAATTTTGATGTGGCTCTCTCAATCGCTAAGGATAGATAGCGATGTTGCAACCTCGCGCGGTACCCAAAATTTAAATCAGGATTGGCAGTTACAGAGTACCACGTCAGGTGGTAATAATTCGTAATAATTGCCACCCGTACGAAGTGACAACATTATTACATTATCAATAACAATATCTATATATACGTGTGTAACCTCATTAACACGTTCTGATAAAAAAGGGTCCCTGGATAGTTAAGATTTATAATTTGACCCGGGCTGAACTATACATGTTTTACTGACGTAATGTATTACCAACATATTCAATTATTATGCGTTGCTTAACGCTAAGGTGGTATTATAGCCCCCCAGGTCGTAAAAGGTTAAATACAATTCTTAATCGATTTAATAAATTATTATAGATCTTGACTAGAACAGTTAAGAGAATCCAATGTGCGAGGTGCCACATCCTCGTACGGGGCTACGTGGGCCGAAGCAAGGTCCTTAGACACTCTCTCTGCTGCACTCAACACGCGAAGAAGATTAAGTCCAGCTAGTTTCTTAAGCTCTTCCATATTCCATCCAGCTTCCATTAGCTCAGCGAATAATAGTGGGTACGATGATACGTCCTCCAGTCCTTGGGGAGTGCTATTGGGGCAATTTTATCATAAAAGTAGGTGTAGGCTACAATATATATATATATACTATTTGTATAGTAGATTACGGCGTTTCTATACATGTTTCATTAAAATGTGGGTTATCAATGTCGGTAAATAAACATGTATAAAATTAGTTACGCTACAGTTAATATACCCAATTTTTCCTCGATGTTTCACTTGTATAAATAAAGCGCTTATTTATTTATTTATATTTATTCACACTTCGTTGCAATAAAAATACAAGAAACACATATAATACAATACGTAAAAATTATAAGGGATGCAACGGGCGGCCTTATCGCTAATAAGCGATCACTTCCAGGCAACCCTAGTAAAAGAGAAAAACTAAAAAAAAATGAAATGATGAATGCGAGAAGTGCAGAACCAAATGTTATATAAAAAAAAATAGAACTTTAATCTAAAGTAATACAACAAAAATATATATTAATAACAAACTAAAAACTTAAAAGCTAATCTTACAAATTCATGAACAGCGGATAGTGATGCAATGCAAAAGAAAAGGAAACACAATTATACAAGTCACGATTGATCAGGATAGGATATGGTTAAGAAATGTTTATACAGAAGAGTTTCTCTCCTTTGCAGGACATAAATTGTTTGTAAAAGTAATAAAAAGGAAGCTTAAAAGCAACGGATACTACATAATAAATTATTTACAAATGTATGCTTACTAATTAATTCCGTCATATCCAGCACCCAGTCCTACGTAATCCACGCCAGCGACATCCCGTATGTGATTTATATGTGCTGCAAAAAGTTTTTCGTTTTAGCGCAGTGGGTGGAAAACAATAAAACACAAAAGGGCGTTAGTACCTATAGCATCCTGTACTGTGGCTGACGTTCCGCAGGTGAGAAAGGAGGTATAAAAGTTCACCATAATTAGACCTTTGTTTGCGGCCAGTAATCGAAGTACAGAGTCGGGTACATTTCGGGTCACGTTGCAGAGGGATCGTGCTGATGAATGCGAAAATAATACAGGAGCTCTGGAGACAGCTAGGGCATCTCGCATTGTACGTTCCGATACGTGAGATAAATCCACAAGCATACCCAGTCTGTTCATCTCCTTGATAACAACCTGTTAAGATAAAACGTACTGGCATAAAGTTAAAACTATTGCCATAATATTAAAAAAAAAAAGATAAAACGTTAAACTATAATCAAAATTTTGTTTGTAAACTGCCAAAGTTTAAAATAATATCCCTACTTTGTATTTTGAGAGTCTGTGGAACTTCATGCTACAACTCAACCATTTTAGAAGTTTGGTCCCTTTTGTTTATTAACTATATCAGTTTTAATGTGCGAAAAATTTCCTCGAATGGGAGAAATTTATAGCAATCGACCCTGTTTCCCGTAACCCCATTTTGTTAATATTTCGTAAACAATACAGTTGATGTTTAATGTTTAAGTTCTGCGTTACGCGCACTGAGTGCTTACAACAAAAGAAAGTATTGCGAAAAGTACAAAAAACAAATCAAAGAAAATAGCGTCGCTTGAAAGCTGGAGCACTTTCAAAGCAAAACGCCAGAACACGACTGGTATTACCTACATACTCTTGTTCTACTTCCTGTGTACTAATGTAAGCTTTGTGGGTATCCTATAGGTTACGTCACTCTTAAATACGTTATATATAGCCATAGACTAACGGACGATAGTATCACCAGGAGATAATGCTGGTCTTTTATTATTCTAAGATTCTTAGCCTCTAATACCTTCTAAACTAAACACCTGTTTTCGCTTTACAAACATTGAAATATAGCTATGTAAGACGAGTGTAGAAATATTGTTGACCGCATATTAATTCACCATTTACACCTCGTTGACCGGACCTTACCTTACCAAACGATGTAAGACCTCCTCTGAGAGGCTCAGGTCGATCTGTCGAGGCACACTCGGCCCAGGGGGTGTCACAAGAGGACGTTAGGGTTAAATACCGAACCCCCACTTGATACAAGGTCCTTAAAACTCCGAGTGATCCTCCGATAGCGTGACCGCCTTCGACTCCCACAAGAGAACATACGCGGTGATTAACGTGCGCCGCCAAAATATCTATAATTAAATATAGTCATTATTTATATATTACTCGGTCAGATTCTTGGTTCTCATAACTACTCTACTACAAACTCATTACGGAAATTTTAAATGTTACATACTTTTTCTGCGCGACTCTTTCTCTGAGGAATCTTTGTTCTGAGATCTGAGTTTGTAAATTACAAACTAAATACAATACTATAAATGAATTCATTACTGTATCTACATAACTCCTCGTTTTGAGTGCTTACCACCAGAGACAAAACTGACCAAAACACTAAAACATTTGTAGCTTGCCAAAACTAATGCAAGAACCGTAGAGCCTACACTCGATTAATGTTATGCATACTGGCGCTTTGGGTGTTAGTTTTTATTTACCACGACAAACAGGTCGATTGCTGTTTCAGTATTAAGCTACACATAGAATGACGATGATGTTCTTTTTTATTAGAAAAAGGTACGTCGATGGTCAGCTGTTGTGTTCTCACAACTGAAACATTTTTCATTTCCTCCGCGCTAAACGCATCGCGTGCAGCCATTGTTTTCAAATAATATAAATTGCCTTATATATTATACTGTTCATCAATAAAACAATATACATGCATTGATATTATTGTTCTTTATCTAATATGTTATTGTTGTTTGAAAATTTGAAGCGCAATTGCAGTTTGCAATTGTCTCCTTGAATAATATTTTGAGTCTAGTTGACAGTGACTATCAAATCGAACCAATAATTGTTTCACGGGATTTTAAACCTAGGTATCCGGGTTTAGTAGATACACAGGAATAAAGTTGTAAATGCTTGTAGAATTTTCTTATTCTGTGGCAGTTTTTTTAAATATAGAAGAACCATTTACAAGTTATAATTATTTATGGTACAGGCTGGTATTTTATATAATAACTAGTGGACCCCACAGACGTTGTCCTGCATGATATTTAAAGCGATTAGGATATTAAGCAAAGTATGAAAGTGCCGACTGCAGTGCCATCTGCCGGGCTGATTTGTGAATCTAAACCATTCCTAGATCCCCTTGAACACACACAAAAAATTTCATCAAAATCGGTCCAGTCGTTTGAGAGAAGTTCAGTCACATACACACGCACACAAGAAATATATATATTAAGATTCTAATGTTATATTCTGGTATTTTGAATATAGAATACGAATGAAAGATAATGTGAATCTATGGTGCGAATGGTAATGCATCTTTTTAAGTCTGTTATCGAAACCATTTAGGGGAAAACTTAATATAATGTGGTATTGGAAATCGTTAAACCCATTCAAAATGCAAAACTTTCAAAACTTCGTCAAAGACCAGCGCTTTTGTTATATCTTTGAACGTTGTTTTCCTAATTGCATATACATATTATTAGCTATATTATATATGATTTATTTTCATTGAAATTCACGATGTTTTTTTGATATTAATACTTAAAATTAATTAACCTAAAAGGAATAATTGCAGCGAATAAGAGCAGTGTTGGCCAACCGCCTTCAGTGTGCGACTATCATCCGTGAGATCGTAGGCTCGATCCCCGGCTGTGCACCAATGGACTTTCCGGAGGTAACCGGCTTGCCTTAGACCCAAAAAGTCGATAGCGTGTGTCAGGCACAGAAGGCTGATCACCTACTTGCCTATTACATTGACAAATGATTATGAAACAGATACAGAAATCTCAGGGCCAGACCTAAAAAGGTTGTGCGGATTTATTTTATTTTAAGACGAATAATTGAAAAACATAAAATTGGGAAATGAAATTTGACATCTACATATTTAGCAAAATACATATGTATTATATTTTATAAGCAATTAATATACTGAACATATTAAATTAGGTTTGTTCTTAAACAGCGGCTTTATCTAGAGTCTATATTCGAAATGTCTTCTATACAAAATTCGACGTGCAATTTTTGATTATGTAATTTCCAGCTTGGAGCAACTCAAAAAAATATATTTTTACTAATAATTAAGCCAGCTTCAGTCTAATCTTTTCAACCCATCAATGAAATACATTCGTAAAACGGACGTCGTACTGAAATCGTTAATTAATTATATGTATTGTTTGATAATAATATTTTTGAGCATTCGTAATGAAAAGAGCCATTAATATTTTAGTCATTCAATGTTCTAAGAAACGGAAACGGAATGAATAACGACGGAATATCTATTACGAGCGCCATTAAGTAAGTAGAAGGTTTCTGGCAGCTAATTTGTTTGGTTATTTGTGTATCGCTGAGAGCGATAACCGCACAATGTTTCTGATGTTCGAACGTTGGCCAGAAAGGCTTTTAAAATGTATCCAAGATTGCTTTTTCTCTTTGCTTATGTAATGACATATTTTAGATGAAATGTTGAGTTGTTTTAGCCTTGTCTGCGATTATTAACTCTGAGGTCGCGTCGATATTTCTTTCTAAATTCGTAATAAATTTCTATTTAATACTAGAAATCATAATAAGCAAATATACAGTAGGCATATTATATTTACCTTATTTATTGTATTTTCTTAACCTACATAGTAATAATAAAAAGACAATTAAAACAAATTTGAAAAGTTTGGTCCCGGTGGCAGTGTACCTTTAATACTGGCAGCATTTCCTCGTTGTATTGCGATACTTATTCGTTGAGCCAGGAAAGTGCCTGCTATGGGGTCACCGGTACTATCTACATTATATTATATTATCTTAACTATGATTAATTGTCTTTATCTTACCATCGGCAGACGTACAGAAGGTAAGTTCAGGGTGGTACTTGTCCGTCAGTCGCTGTATCAAATCTATTTGTTCAAAGGTAAGTTGAACAGCGTCCTTGTGCTGGGAGTCGCAGGGCACGTACGCCGCCCAGAACTAACGACAAAATATTTCAATTTTCAAACGTATTTTACGTCTTTGGATGTTACAATATATCATGGCTGAGGAAATAAGGTTCTATTTACAGTGTATGGAACAATAGCTTGACACAGGCAGGAGGCGCACCCGATGTTAAGTGATACCACCGCCCATGGACACTCTCGCTCGCGAATGCGTTGGCGTTATAAGAATTGGTACACTCTTTTTTTAAAGGATCCTAAGTCAAATTGGGTAACTAGAAGGTAATCCATATATGACCGAGCTTTGATAATATACTTTAATTTTATTCTATCAAATCCAAACTTTATGATACATACTAGAGAATAATTATCAAAACAGTTTAGGAAATGAGGTTTTATTGGCAGTGCACAGAACAGTTACTTAACTAAGAATCTATATATATGACTCAAAATCGTTAATTATCTGAAACAGTAGACTGAAAATTATGTATAGCCAAAGACTGATTCGAAATTTAATGCTCAATTAGCCAATTATTTTTGTAAGATAAGGATAGTGAAGAATCTTAATTCTTTCTGGTATGGCTAAAAAACTCATTGTTAAGCATGACAGATGAAGCCGATACATTTTCGCATTTGAATCAGTAAGGATTTGGTTCCAATCCTAAATTTTTGTCCCTAGATATTGAACATGAATCTTTACCTCTAACAAACCTTTTTTTTAAGTAAGCGGAGGCAAGCTGGCAGGAGGCTCACCTGATGTTAAGTGATGCCCATGGATACTCACATTCCCAGAAGGTTCGCAAGAGCGATGCCAGCCTTTTAAGAACTGCTAAATATTTATTATAATCCAATAATTATCTAGCTACCAAGGCACTAGAAATGCCAGGAGATTATTACCTAGTAGGTAATCGTAAAATTTTAGTGCAAAAAGCAAAAACTCCTTTGGGATTAGTGACATCCATCATAATTTTTCATTGTCCTCCCACTACAGAGAATAGTTAAGTCCGAATATGACATGGAAGCAGCTAAGTACGAAGATAAATTACTCCCACATTTAAAGTTCCCTTAGACAAAATGGTTCTTAATGATCAACTATCTTGTTTTCTGGGTCGAGCGAGTTTTTAAAATGTAAGTGATTAAACGTTACGCTGACATGCTAACAGAATGTGACAAGAGCATCGTATGCAGACATGTAATAAGAAACGTGATTTACATACGGAATACATGGAATGAGTAAGTTCTTTATGGGCGTATTTGCTGTATTCAATCTTGCAAAATAACTGAAACGTGATATTGAAATTTACAAGTTTCAATTGCAGTAGTAAGCTTTTTAAATTGTCTATGGTTTTTTTACGCATTATATACCGGATCCACTGGCGAAAAAAATATTTAGGTTTACGAATAATGACTAAGATTTAATTCCACTTTTGAAAAGTTTGGAGATATATGTTATAAAATAATGTATCTATGTCTAATCTCAAGTTTATATTACATTTTATTATAATAACTAGCAGACCCGGCCACGCGTTGCTGAGGCTAAGGTTTTTGTTGTATTACATAGTAGTAAACTATTCAAGGTAAACGGCAGGAGAACACCAGTCATGGGGACCATGCTTTTTTGGTGGTTATGCCAAATTGTTGCTTATGGAAAGCGTTGGTACTTTCAACACAGCACCATCTGTTAGAATTGTGACTGTCAAATAATTTGCAATAAAATAATATTGCGGGTATAAATTGAGATGTAAGCTATCCTATCTTTTAAGTTAGATTAAACTGGTGCAAATTTGTTGAAATTTGAAATCGGTTAAGTAGTTTAGGAGTCTATAGCGGACAAACAACGTGACGCGTAATTTATATATATATTAATATCAGAAAACGCTATGTTCAAAGTGGTATTTTATAACTATAAATAAGAAGACGTGTATACTGACTTGGGCGGCCACTCGACCTTGCTTCAATCGAGGCAAATCAGTGTGACTCCACGAGCTTGTTGCCCACGGCGATATAGTTCGCAGGTCTTCGTCAAATCTGTGTACAATACCGTCGATTTAATTTTGATTACAATAACTGTGGTTTAAATTAACATGTAATTAATCATGTATAATGGATATAACATTCAATTATCGTTGATGAGTGACCACAACGTTTTAAACAATGTGTTGTTGTTAGCTTTTATTCAATTCGTTAGTTGATTCACGTATTTTTATAATTACATTATTATTATTTATTTTATACTTATCCGTTAACAGTCTCTTGACTTTTATCAGATTTTATGATATTATTTGGAGTCAATTAGGGAATCCAAATCCAATAATTTGTTTTCCCTCCGTAACTCGCAAACTATCAAACTGCGGTATTGTTCGGTTGATCTTTTAATGTCTTCCTCGACAGTGATAATTCCCAAATAATTAAATATCAGCATAATTTTATCATTAAATTGTAGCAAAATTATCAGATTTGGTGTTTTTTTTCAATATCATAAATATGTTTACTTTAAGTTCACTTGATTTTAGCGGACTCTTATTCGTCAACCTTTAAAATATAATACCAATAACGCGTCTGCTTCAACTTTATCGTAGCGCCACTGCAATTAGTGCGTAATTAAATTAAGAGAATTGCCCTACTGAGCTTATTTAATTCAACTGGATATTACTGACCTGAAATCTTTAATTCTGTTATGTAAGAATTTTCTGATGTTCCACGGCAGGTCGTTGTGTCCGTCGATAAGTGGCGTGTCGTGTAGCAGTTGTTTGGCGAGTCGTAGACGTTCGTGTAGAGGCGCACCGGGTGGTGCTCGTAGCGCTAGGGGTCCAGCTACGCACGCTGTACCGGCTACTAGCACAAGAACAGCTACGCAGCACCAACGTCGCTGCCATCCTGACAAACCTATATGATAATCGTAAATATATAAATTAAGGTATCAGTGACAATTTTAACTTCTCATATCAGTCTAAATGTAGTCTTTGCAAAAACCTGTATTTACTGTAGTAAAATATAATATGTTGTTGAAGTTTAATTTCAAAAGATAAAAATGATAATGTGGACCGGCGATTTACTTTTGTATTGTGCTAAATCAGTTACGAAGTACTCCCTTTTTAAAACAATATATTTTTCTGAAAACTTAATTTAATGAGTATTAATTAAATTTCAACATAAGATAGCATTTTATATAATATTGTTACGAAGATGGGTTGACTGAAATGTTTCTTGATTTTTCCACAAGTAATACAAGTTTTCAGCAAGCTGAAACGTGGTTTCTGAACGATTCAGGAGAGGTTCTTAAAAATTGTAATTTGCATAAAGTTACCCTCGTTTTCAGGAGACTAATTCAGTTTCAAATTCAATTCTAATAAGAGATAAACATCGAAGTGATATTGTGCGAATAGTGAAGAGAAGTGTAAAGTACTGTGTGTGTGCGGGTAATTAAAGTAATTAGTGACAGTATTTTGTGTGTGTTTAATAATGTATTTTTGCGTGTAATTTATATTATTTTAGTATTTTTACTTTCGTTGATTTGTTTAAAAATAAACCCTTGAAGAGATCTACGGCTTTTTCTATCATATCCCCTAGCTCGTAACATTATGTTCTTCTGACATTTAAATTAATCGTGCCAAACAAATTTTATATAACCGTCTTTGTCGTTTAGGGGTAATATCAGGACATACCTAATAGCTGGGTGTAATTCTGCACAAAAAAAAAAGGTTGTTTCGACGACATTTCATACAAGAATACAATTATTACATCCCATTTTTTTATAGAACGGGGGGCAAACAGGCAGGAGGGCACTTGATGTTAAGTGATCACAAGCCACACAGCCAGAAGGCTCACAAATGCGTTGCCGGTTTTTATCTTATCTAAATTAACATCCAAAGTTACTAATATATTATAAGAATTTTATTCCTATTACATTTACTTGTATTATTTGTTTCCAATGTAGTTATTTTTATTACGAAATCGTAACACTGCAGAACCGGGGTCAATTGATGCGGTTTTTATTATACGGTTAAATGGAACATAACTACAACCACTCATGAACTTAATAGGGTGTAATGATCATCCTAAGAGATAGGGTTCACCGCCCTTCGAGATGTGCGACAGTTCTATTACCAGGGCCGGATTTAGGGACGAGCAACCGGAGCTGCAGCCCTGGGGCCCCGACAAAAGAGGGGCCCCACAATAGAGACTTGTTTCATACATTTTTGAAGTGAAACTTCTTTAGGTGCATGAGGCTAATTTTACGGATTAAACGTCACGAAGATGAGCAGCGTTATTGTCCAAGAAAAGGGAGAGCGATGGAGACCGATTGAGAAAAAGTGAGAAGGGCGAATTACCTCATAGAAACTTTATTTTTAAAATTAAAATTTCGTAAAGAGAATTTATGGAGTATAAGTATTTTATATTTTATGTAAAATAATTTATTGGAATCTCAAATGAGTAATTGTCCCTCTAAGTCTAGAAAATCTAAAGTTTTAGATTTGTATAAATATGAACAAGACTTAAAAATGTATTTTGCCAAAGAAGTTTCACTTCTGACATGTGTACTTTGTAGGCACGCACTTTTTTATGTTTGTTAAATACTCTACTTAGTTTTACAATAAATTATTGATTGAAATATTTTAATTGAAAAAAAATTATTCATTTTATTTGGAAAATAATTTGGGACCAGAGTTCCTCTCCTTTGTGGTCCCGAGGCCTCCAGACCTCTAACTCCGGCCCTGTCAATTACCGTTTCATGACGTCGTCAGTAGGGCATTTATTTTTATATACTTACGTGAAGAGTTTCCCGTGGCAGTTGAACTGTGGCTGGTGCTCGAAGCGGTGGTGGTTGGAAGCCACTGCGCTGACTTGCAGGCACTGCAGGAGACGTCTTGACCACGACTCGTAACGTCAGGCGCAGGGATCGCTTTCTTCTTACCCTTAAAGGGAGTTAATTTAAATACTGTTTATGATAATAAATTCTTAGCTCATTGTTTAATTTAATAGAAAATTCCTGTCGAGACTGAACTAAAATTCGATTTCAAAACTCGCGGAGACAATTCATCCGCCCAACACCAAAAATTACGCAGGTAGAATTTCTTTTACTTGCAAATTTTATCGCCGAGAGAAAGATTGGAATTTTGTTGTAGAAACTTAAGACAAGTTTAGAACTTCAAGCACTTTTAGATTAAACTTGAGTTTTAAGTTTCTGTTCATGTTTGCATTTTTGAAATCGGATGAAATATTAGTATAAATATTACCAACACTATGTGGTAAAAAACAAAATCAATTCACTAACGCACTTCAATCTGTAGTACTGAGAATAAAATATATTTTTCTGAAAAGTAATCGTTTGACACATTTTCTATCATTTTAAGAGCGCTTCACAACTTTAAACTATTCTGAATATTTATTTATTTGTTGCAAAGACCTATCAAGCTCACAATAAGATTATAACGATAAAAATATGAATACAATTTACATTTATTTAGATTAGACATAAAAATGCAAATCTTTTAATTGTATAATATTAAAAATCCGAATTACTAGGTCTGAGTATTTATTCCTATCCTCAAATTTATGTTTACGTATACCTACGAGTTTATATTATTACTGGTACTACTTACATGTGTGTCGAAGAAAATAGAGGGAATCTTCTGCGTCCTCCCGGTGTCACACGTACACTGTGCATGAACGGGTCTATGGCCGTTTCCTATATTTCTGTCGGTCTCCATAAACGGCTGTCCATTTTCCGATATAATGTTATTGCGAGTGTTACCCGATCCCAGAGTTTTGTCTTCCGGCGACCAGGCTTCCGATACTCTATCAGGGAATCGTTCCGATGCAAAATCATTATAAGACATTTGCCGTCTTATTCCCCTACATCTACTTCTATTGTCGAGAGTAGAAAATTTTATTGACGACGAATTTCTCGTTACGCTTTCATCATTTCTATTCAACGTTCTTATGTTAGTGTTCTTCTGCGGTTTACATAAATCGCTATTACAATCTCGCAGTCGATCAAAGCACTGATCAACGTTAGAAAAATTCGCGTAGGTATTAATGTTTTCTTTAAAATCTGTCTTGGAATGCAAGCTTGTCGAAGAATATACACAACTTTGACTGTTCGTCCTCCGTTGCGTCTTATCGACGAGCGATAACATCGACAGTTTCCTCAGTGAGTTGGCGGAGCCGGCACTTATCTCGGCCAACTGCACCGCATTCTGAGGTTTTTTCGACATCGCGTCTTCCCCGATTCTTTTCAAATTCGACAGTTTCTTTTTTATTTTCTGTACGAGGGTGCTCGTTTGATCATACGATATAAATTGCTTTGAAATGTAGTTGGAAACATTTTTGCTTTTAATCTGTTTCCTGTCTAAGCTGCAATGCGTTCCATTTATTAAGTTATTCCGCCCCGCGTCTCTTTTCATTCTTTCCATGTCGTAAATACTCAGCGTATGGCCCCGTTGTTTCGTGACGTCACGATGGCAGTTCAGATAATTATTTTGTTGCATATTACAATTACAAGCTAAGTCAAAGTCACGTTCTGATATGTGGTTATTATAACATTGTCTCTGGGCGGCTAGCGCGAGACAAGCCTCGCAATCGACACCAAGTAAGAGTTCAAGGCTTGTATTCCTTATGAATCCGTCACTGAATGTCCTCGATCGAAAGTTTGAAGAATGCGGGGTATGCTCAGGTTCAAAGTCAGATATCATTATTGGTTCTGTTTCGTTTCGAGATACACAGTTCGCTTGATCGTCCATCATGGTTGCGACATCTCGGTTTACCTGGATGACCCTCGGCTGACGGAGCACTCTACTGTCACTTCGCACCGAGCAACGTGACGGTGACGGGGAAGGTCGTTTAAAATCATCGATTTGAATCATCTTAAATTTTTATATTATCCACCAACGCCCTGTAACCGGAAAGCGCTTTAGAACGCGGCCTTTTAATTATTAAATAATATATAAACTAGCTTGCATTTTATTTAACATAAAACCCTTTGTGTAGTTATGCCGAGTTCATAAGGATGGCGTTGTCGCGTTGCGCATAATGAATTCCTATAACATTGTTATTATTATTTCTGTAAAGCATAAAAACGTAACAAAGTTAGCGATGGTCAAACTTCTAAGTGAATTAAATTGAAAGAACACAAGGGAATGTCTCGGCGCGTAGCTGGCCGACAACAAAGTCATTTTTGTTTTACTGCTTCCGAATGACAGTTTTTTATGATGAATGCCCATTTTAGCATTCATTATTATGATTTACTCGTAGCGATAAATACACGAAAATGCCTTTTTTTATTTCGTTTACGTAATCAAGTAAAACAATTAAATACTTTATGATAATAACAGAATTATTACTAAAGTGCTTTTAAAGTTGTATATTTACATAAATTGTATCGTAAGCATTTTTGTTAGTTAAATTATTGGTAAAATAATAACAAATGGAAATTTTCGCGTATTCTTAATTAAAGTCAATGATATTTTGGCTGTATTAAATTAACACTGTGAACATAAACCATACGATGAATTGGCGTAACAAAACAAGCGACCATTTGTATGAGACTAAGAAAAATGCTCACTCGTAGCTTTGGAAGCACACATCTCTCAACATTACTCTGTGTGCTCTGCGGTCTCCCGTAATCCTGACGAAAAATAGTGCGGATGTGCGATGTGATGTGATCGTGTGTACTTTTTATATAATTACATATTCACTAAAGCGTTTAGTAGGTCTTAATATTTGTATCATTAATTAACACTTCGTTGCATTACAATATAAAAATTGAACATAATTTAATGAAAAGAGGGCATCTGGCGGCCTTAACGCTTTCGAGCGATCTCTTCCAGGCATTTTAATGGAAGATAGAGAAGGAGCTAAGCAAATAGGGACGGGAAGTGAATTCCATAGCCTAACTGCAGATACCTCAAAGGATTCGCCAAGAAAGGAGAGCTTATGAGATGGGATTTCAACGATATCGTTAAATAATTTTATCAAATAGGTTAGTAAAATTTTAACAGTTAGGAACTGAAGTAACTGTATTTAGCAGTAAGACCGCTCAATTACATCCATTCTCTTCACTTATTAATATTTTTTCCTGTTTTGTGTTATCGTGATGTAAATGAAGTGTTGATATTATTATAGGATTGGTGCATTTTATGAATACGTTTTCTTTCTTTAAGATTTCTATCAGTTTGTGAATATAGAAATGTTTTGCAATATTATGTATTAGCTGTCAACCTGATGTCATATCGTCTACTTCAACACTTATACACAAATATTGAATTACGTTTAACCAGACAGGTTTTGTTATATAAAAAAGTATAAAAAAATAATCAAATAATATTTTTGGAGATTTTCTAAACCGATAATAAAGACTATATATCTCCTGTACCTGAATAATTTAATTGTTATTGTTTTATATTAACATATTTTCAATTACTCTTTTACACAACAAAATTACTAAAACAATTAAACATATACCTAGCAATGGAATTCGGAAAGCTGTTACAAATATACGTGATCTCAAGACGCAAGTAAACATTTTGTCTCAGTATATTTTCTTTCTTTGAGAGAGTTACGTACTCTTTAATCAACGAACGTTGTGAGGACTGAAGCTAACTTTTACGAAAGTTCTGCTCAAAAGTGCACTTGCCACTTGAAAACTGGAAATACATGATTAAAGCACAATTAAATATGTCACCATAGCTTATGTCACGTGTAATTACTTTTAAAATCTCTCTAGTAATTCCAGATGTTACTTAATACAAATAAAATCACAAACTTTTTTGAAGAATTGACTGATTGACATTGTGGGCTTTTTAGATTAATTAGTAACATAATATTCGCTAGAATAAATATACATACAAATTTATTTAACTTGACACGAACACTCTATCACTTCTTTAATAGACGTAATTGTCTCTATGACCAGGTTACCAAAAATATAAAGTAAATATTCCGAAACACATCGATATTTGTGAATTTTCAAGTCATTTTACTAACCAATACTCACAACAAAGTATGCATAAAAGACACATAAATATAAAAGTTATTGGTTCCACAGGTGTATTTCTATCGAAACATCAGTCTGGTTAGAACACAGAATCATTTAAATACGTGATTGCTTTTACAGCTACGAACAAGTCACGCGGAGTAACGGTACGAACGAGTTACGCTACACGGTGTACTGCTACGGGCGAGCGATCCCGTAGAGCTCGTAGGTCGTACTGGTCTCGCGCGGAGGATCTATACGAGACGCGGAGGCTGTGTGGCCGGACCGGAGGGCGGTCGGGCGGCAAACGCCGACTGCCGCGGCCGCCCGCATCCGTACCTTCACCGCTCCCGTGGCTCGCCGCCGGCAGCTGTGTTGACACAATTTAAAATAATGTCAAAGATCTTAGGATTTTAGAAGACATAAGCCGTACGAAATCTCTTACATGGGCTAGTTTTTAACGGTGATATTTGTCGGAAGCAAAATCAGAAAAATGCTTCGAACTCATTAATCACGCCGAGTGCGAGAGACAACCGTCTATCTTTGAAATCAGGAGTGAATTGCTTAATTAGATTTTCTTTTACTTCGCATTCTGTCTTACATTACTTAAAATTGAAAAATACGTTTCAAGCAATCCTATTAATCACAACATTTTTTTGAGACAAACCTTTAGACCTCCCTGTTAGACTCAGCTTGTAACAAGAGCAGAAATAAGCTGTTGTTTTTATTGCCTCCTATAACAATAAATTAAGTAAACGTGACCAGTTTATTAGTTGCAGCATTAGATTGTGTTGGAGACGTATTTTATAAATATAACATTGGCGTCTTTTTAAATTTAAGTTGTAGTTCTTTCGGTTGTATTATTTCAACCGTTGAATAAAATAGTATATAATTATGTAAATTAGCTGTGTCGTTCCACTGTCCCAGACTACTACGATCGATCCCTGAGGTCGTAGGTTCGATCCCCGGCTGTGCACCAATAGACTTTCTTTCTATGTGCGCATTTAACATTAACATTCGCTCGAACGGTGAAGGATAACATCGTGAGTAAACCGGCTTGCCATAGACCCAAAAAGTCGAAGGCGTGTGTCTGATCACTATACACATGAAATAGATACAGAAATATGAGGCCCAGACCTAAAAAGGTTGTAGCGCCACTAATTTATTTATTTTTAATTATGTAAATGAAATGTACCTGTATATTTATTCAATTACATCATTAAACATATCAATGAATGAATTATAAACCCCATATTTCTTGTATTTGTATGCAAAACTGCCTGTTTTTCTTAATTTAAACGTAGCCTTAGTGTAGTTGAGGTTTAGATTACGTATTTTGTTCCATGTTCCCTTCGGTATAGATTCTGAAACTATAGTTAGAGAACTTCGTACCTAAAATACACGTAGAAGCCATATGTTATGGGAAGTTATCTTACCACACGCACTAATCATTTTCTAATTCATAAGAAACTATGGTAAGTTATTAGAACAGAAAGATAACGACAAAAAGATTACTTAATTAGATACGTTTCTTACAAGGAATATAATTACCGACTATAGTCAATTTATTTCTTTCTGCTCTTTTCTGGCGCGTCCTCGGAGCAGGCGGAAAATAATAAACGGCAAAAATACAAGTCTTTCCTAACTTTGTTTTTGTTCCCTTTGGTAGAGCTCTCGGGCCAAACAAGTGCACAGGCGCTAATCAAAGACTTAAGTGGGCGCCTGGTAGTACTGGTGACCTGGTGCTTTCCGCGCTTAGCGTATAAGCATCACAATACTGCGAGGAAATGCTGCCAGCATTAAGGGTAGTCTGCCATATGGACCAAACATTTATAGTTAATTTTTATATTTTTTTAAATCTTAATATCATTATATTTTGTGATTTACTAAACATATATTTATTTGTATCTATAGCCGTTAAATTTAATATTTAAATTTTTGAATTTAAATACGAATTTTATTTTTGCAACGTACATACAGCATAAATTATTACTCGATGTTTAAACTTCAACATGCCAACAATGGTACAAAATCGTTAGAAAATTTAATTAATATTTTTCAATGTGAAGTTGAATGATGGCGATAACAATAAAGCTAGGAACGTTTGTTTTATGTTCCTTTTCAACATTGTAAGTTAAACGTTGTGTTTTGGAGGGTGAAAACATTCATTTAGTTCTGAACTTTTTATAGCTCCTTCAGAGAGCCAAGTGCTAATAGGAATTCCTTCGAAATGGAGGGACGTGATGAGGACTCCACTATTTGATTCCGTGTTATTATTTTTCGGTGAAACGACTGCAGATTCGGCAGAAAGCCTTTGCATTACTGAGATTACACTAGCGCAAGGGGGTTAAGCCAATAGGCTTTCCGTGTCATTTACTTTATGTATTATATTCAAATAAACCCGAGTAAATATTATAAAATAAACACCAATCAGAAAAAACAATAATTTTATTTATTTAACACTTCGTTGAATATAGAAATATAATACAATTAACATAATTAAATGAAAAGTAGAGCAACTGGCGGCCTTATCGCTTTCGAGTGATCTCTTCCAGGCAACTATGAGATAAATAATTACCTAGAGAAGGTAAGCAAAAGTGCAAAAATACATAAAACAAACAATTAAAACATATGTAAACAGTTATAAGGACAATATTTAAAAAAAAGACACATGAAAAAGAAAACAATTTCCCTGATAAGACGGGAATTGGAGATATTGTATGCTGCATATTTTATATTTTGTAAAGTGACCTCGTTATTTATAAAATAAAGTTCCAAATCACTATTTTAACAGCACTGTTCCATCTCTTTTCATAATAGTTTAAGTATATGAAAGAGAAGTTTTACAAGTACAATATGTGATTGAGTTATAAATAAAAGGAGAAGAAAGAA